TATATATATATATATATATCCATTGCCTCTATCGGTGCAGAGAGTTATCTGAATGAATGGAACTTTTCCTCCCCTGGTAAATATTAGTGACAAAGGTTGAATAGTAAAAGTGTTCACTATTTCGTATCACCCCTTGAAAGGATCGTAGGTAGTAAGACGTTTGCTTGAGCCTCCAGAGAACTCCTGACTCTGAGCAGGCCGCCCAGGATCACGGGGAGCAATGGCCCGTCTGTCCCAGCCTGGCAGGGCTTCATATGTCCTCGTTGTGGTCTGCTGTGGAGGAGGAGAAATACACACACCCTGCAGCATGCAGCTTTATGACTTTTTTAAAAATTATATTATTACATCATTACCGATGTCTTAATAATAAGTATACTAAGCAGACCAACTCGAGAGAGCTAAAATTGTAAAGCTAGAATTGGTAGAATTGCAGAGCTAGCATTGGTGTGTTTCTCTCTTAACGTTCTCTGGAACACTGCTGACATGATGAGCGAACAGCTGGAATGAACAGGAGCCGTTCAGTCTTATGGGAGGAGCCAGCCATGTGCCCCAGGTGACTTTCTGAGTGGGGGCTCAACCTTCTCCTTCCCTCAGGAGTGGGACAGGTTTTGCTCCTCTCCGACTGTTTCCAGTTGCACCCGGTTTCCTTTGCCCATTACTCTCATTGCAGTAGGGGTGCTGAGAGTATCTATAAATCATGGATATCAGTGGAGAGGGTGGGGTCAATGTTGGGCGGTTTGTGCCCAACAATTTGTGCTGAAGTATACAATAGATAAAATGTGCCCTATCCAAATGCGGACACCGACAATTTAGATCGAAACGCTCAGGGCGAGGTGGCAGCCGGATGCCACAAACCATTGAGGTCACAGCAGCGTTGCAAAAGTCTGACTGGTGGAGTTACTCAACAAATCAAATGTTTAAACGGCTAAGCATCCAAGTCTGTATCTTTGCCTCCCCGTGCAGGGAAATTATACTCCGTCCTCTGTTTAGATTGGGCCCAGCTTCATGTTATTTGCGGGGTAGGAGTTGTCGGTTGTTTTTTTAAGTTGAAAATTGTGTTTGCTTATTACCGAGAACGTAGTAAGGGAAGATCTTCCTTTGAAAATACGTTGCTGCTTTCCAATGTGAGAATTCACGAGGTAAACAATCTCCCAGGTAGGATTAGAGAAAACCTTTTTAGCAAAAAGACTCTAAATCCTATACAGGTGCTTGCTGAAGAAGACTAATCCTTTTTATTATGAAATATGTTCCTTTTATTTATTTACTTTGTTTCCACCGTGCCTTCCCCCCCCCCCAAGTGGGGACCCAAAGCAGCTTACATCATCCTTCTCTCCTCGGATCTGTCCTCAAAACAATCCTTTGAGATAAGTTAGGCTGAGAATATGAGACTGGCCCCAGGTCACCCAGCAAGCTTCCGTGGCAGGAGTGTAGAATTCGAACCTTGGCTTTTGTGTTGGAATTCACCAGATTTGTTGTCTAGCCAAAGTCCAAATAGACAGACAACCGGGTAACAAGCTTAAAGATGTATTTGCCAGGCCACTGGTGATCACAGAAACAAGTCTGCAAAGTAGAATCATATCCTTGTAAGGATATTCCTTTCAGGTATACTCTTAGGTTGCAAAGCATTAAACATGTGCAAAAGCTGCAGCCTGAACCAAAACGTAAGACTTCTAAGTAAATTTCCACTGCAGACCCCTACACATTCCAAGAGCCCTTTCCGCAAACCAGCCTCCTTGGTGTTGGTTACAGTCTCCTGGAGTTGTTAACCCAGATGGTCTTAGACTCCCCGAGATGAGGTAATCTCAGTGCTCAGCACCAGCTTGCTCTCTGGGGGCCTCTGCTTTAGCCAGCAAGGTGTGAAACAATTAAACATGGTGCTGGCGGGGCCTGGCGGAGTCGGACTCGACTGTGCGACTGAACAACAAATGTTAGACTGCAGTTTTGTACTTCACTTTCCAGATTCTGGTCTGACACTCTAACCCAGCACAAACATGCAGCCTGGGGGCTGGATCAGGCCCCCGGAGGGCTTCTATCAGGCCCGCAGTGGAACTGGCTGTCTTCTGCTGCTTCTTCCAATTCTGCTGCTGCTGCGTCATCGTAGGTTTGCAGCTTACAGATACACACCTGAACTGCATACTCAAGATTGCAACAGCACAGACATTTTGATGCAATAATTCAGAGCAAGAGGTGTCAGTTATCAGACACTGTTAAATAAACAAAATATTGCAAGAGTGCTAATGTTTTAAGCATGTTTTTAAGTTTAAAAAAAGGCCCTTTGTGTTTGTGTCCTTTATAAAGTTTATATCTCCGCTACCTGGCATTACATTTTATGACACACACGGCCCGGCCCAACAAGATCTCATTTATGTCAGATCTGGCCCTCATAACAAATGAGTTTGGCACCCCTGCTCTAACCGCTTCATCACATTGACAGAAACTAACAAGAAGAGACATCTCTTAATTTAAAAAGAAATCTCACTTTGGGGGAATCTGAAGCATTTGCTGTCAAACACGATCCAGAGCAATCTGTTGCCAAGCTACCCCTTAAGCAGGGCTGGTTATAATTCTGTTAGCTAAACTCAGAATGCACAACAGTGCCAATGGGGTGTAGTGATTAAAGTGTTGGACTAGGGCCTGGGAGGTCCAGGTTCGAGTTTCAAAGAAGCTTGCTGGGTGACACTGGACCAGTTACCCACTCTCAGCCTTATCTACCTCACAGCAAGAAATTGGTGAAGTTAAGACAAAAAGTAAAGGTAAAGGTTCCCTTGCTCGAAAGCCAGTCGAATCTGACTCTAGGGTTGCGGTGCTCATCTCCATTTCAAAGCCGAAGAGCCAGCGCTGTCCGAAGACGTTTCCGTGGTCATGTGGCCGGCATGACTAAACACCAAGGTGCACGGAACGCTGTTACCTTCCCACCGAAGTGGTACCTATTTATCTACTTGCAATTTCTTGCTTTCGAACTGCTAGGTTGGCAGGAGCTCGAACTAGAGACGGGAGCTCACTCCGTCACGCGGCACACACGGGTCTCAAACTGCTGAACTACCGACCTTCCACAGCCTGCAGTTCAGTGTCTTAACCACTTGAGCCACTGCAGCTGAAGTTAAGATGGAGGAGTATAAATGGTTGGAGTGAGTGACTTAGCTTGGCTGGACATCGGGGGGTGCTGCATCACTCTGTGTGTGTGTAGGTGTTATCTCCTTGAATGAAGAAGAAGAGATTGGATTTATATCCCGCCCTTCACTATTCAAAGAAGTCTCAGAGTGGCTTACAATCTCCTTTCCCTTCCCCTCCCCAGAACAGACACCCTGTGAGGTCGGTGGGGCTGAGAGAGCTCTTTCAAGGACTGCTCCTGAGAGAACAGCTCTGAAAGAACTTGTGACTGACCCAAGGTCACACCAGCAGCTGCATGTGGAGGAGTGGGGAATCAACTTTAATAAATTGGTTGCTCAAGCCCTTGGTGTAGCTTGACGTTTATGTGGATTGTATTCTCCCACTGTGTTCATCAAAGTGTGGCGTTTACCTCCAGCCACAGAAAAGACTGTTCCATTAGTTAAAAAAGGCAGCTTTTCTGGAGGAAGATTCCTTGCACGGAAGGAAAACTTTGCCCTTAGCTGAGCAGAGTGGTAGGAGATAACCCACCTCGTGAGAATGGCCGGAGGCTGAACTAAGTGAGCATGCTATTATGTAAGGAAGCAGTCAGGTTCTTGGTTACAGCACGAGTGATACAACATGCTTTGGTTTGCCTACTGTGGCATCTGCCAGTTAAAGGATTTGGAAAGGCCTTTGACTGAGACTTGGGGATGGATCCAGGCTAAATTTTCCTGTGGCAGAATGGATCTTTCCTGCCTCCTTCCTTCCTGCCTCTCT